TATTTAATTTGATTTCATTTTTTTTTTTGTTATTCTGCAACCAACATGGGTACCTGATCTTGGCCGAGCCGATGAGTAAAAAGTATTTTGGATGTTTTGTACTCCCTTAATAAGTTGAAATATAATTAAAAACTCCATTGATTAAAACTCTTCCTAATTCATTTGAATCTAATAAATCAGCATTAAAGGACCTGTTTCCATAGTAAAACTGTGTCATCTCAAGGTTTAAAGTTTATGATTGCAAAATGTATTCCTTTAATGAATATTCAAGATGAGTACATCGAATTCTATCTACAATATGTGTGTTCTCTTCTTCAAAACAGTGATTATATAAAGAATTGATTAAACTCTTAATCAGATACATCTTAGGTAGTTGTTACAATGTACATGTATGTGTTCAAAATTGTTGCCATGGGATATGTAAATATAAAAAAAAATCATTAGACCAAAATTAAATTGTCCATTTGCTACAAGACAGCAATTTTTGACTTTTGGACACAGTCATTGTCACTTCTGAATTGCTGTTAAGCATTAACTATAGGACTCAGAACATGTTTATACATGTTATTTTTTTTTCAAAATTCAGGGTACATTGCCATGGTAACCATGTTACATAGCAACACACTTTTGCCTCATGGATTAAAGGTATCAAATTCTTGACAACACATATAGCAAAATTGAAGAAATTCTGTGACTATGTATACCCCTGCTCATATATAAGATTCAAAGTAATTACAGAGAATGAATCTTTCAAACACTCAGTGAAATCAAGTGGTTGTTATGCGCTCAAAATCGTTTCCATGGGAAATTTATATAACAAAAATACTTTTATGAGGTCCATAATGCGTTTTTGAGTCTGCTTAACTGCAATTTTAGGACTAAATTTGAAACATTTCTTACTAATGTACATGAATATCTACCAAAATTAATCCTTGCCGCCTTGTTGCTATGCGGAATTTGCTGTTGCCCTGTAAATAAGTAATTGTACAATAGTCGTTAGTTTGCTAAGAAGTCTGATTTATATTCTATCACTTTAAAAAATTTATTTTTCCTACTCTAAGATAACAATTTATAAAATATTTCTTTGTAGCACTTTACAATTTTTCACTGTTTATTAGTTAAAACATCCATTTTTGTTGCTAGGCAACGGGCACTAATTTTCAAAAAAACCCACGTATTTGAATTCGGATTTCAACAGAGAAATCCAACTCCTTTTATGTGAAATACATGCAAGTCTATCACAGAACTATTTTTAAATCTGATATGTACGTGTTGGGTTGTTAAAACACTTAAAATGTGTTCATTATACCAGTGAAGAGGATTTATTTTTTCATGTTTACATTTCATTTTAAATCTTAAAAGATTAGTGACTTTTCGTCCGACCACATGGAAAAAGTGGCTGGTTGCTAGAGGAATTTCTTTAACCAGGTTTCCTAGTAACCATGAACTAAAACATTTTTTTTTAATTTTAAATATATGGATCATAGTGCAAGAGAAAATCTATGTGTGGAAAATCATCAAATTCTGAGGACCTTCAAGTATCACCTTTTTGTCTGATTTTTATATGGACTGGTACTTAAAATGTAGACAGACTGGACCCTGATATTTATAGACCAATATCAATCCTCACACTTTGTCAAATATCATTATAAAACATGTCACAAATCATATTCGTAGCCTTTTGTCAAAGTTTGATCTCTTATGCCAAACTGGTCTTACTAAACTTTCTGATGAATTGTTACAGTTACAAGCAATGGATAATGATAAATTTGCTGTCATAACCTTTCTTGATTTTAGTAAGGCCTTTCATCCAATTAATCATGATATTTTGATTAAAAAACGTATAATGCTACAAGTTTGGCCCCAAAGCAGTGCAATGAATTGACAGTAACTTTCAGAGTGTCTACTTTGGTAACGTAGAATCTGAAAAAAAGTTAGAGGGGGAGTGTCAAAGAGATGAATTATAAGTTCACTTCTCTTTTTAATTTTTATTAAGGATCTTCCATTATTTCTCGAAAATTCTATTATTGACATATCCCGATAAGGCTACATTACACATTTCAAACAGTTATTGTTCTTCAACGCAAAATGTGCTATCCTCTGACTTAAACAATAATGAAATATGGTGCTCGAAAAATCAGGTGATTTTGAACACTAGCAAAACTAATTTATGTTCTTATGCATACAGTTTATGTTCTTATGCATACACCAACGACGGTCAGAGCTGACCAGCCAGAATCTCTTCTACAGGTGTCAGATCATTGTCTGAAAAGTGTTACACATGAACAAAATCTTTCGAATCCATATTGAAAATTCTCCCAATTTCAATTCACAAATCGATGGCATTTGTAGATAATGATTTCAAAGAAATCTGTATTACGTGGAATCAAGAAATATATATCCTTAAATACGATAAAATTTATTTAATAACGCCTATATTATATGCCATCAATCGATAATTGTTAAAAAAATGTGACAATGCCTGTAGCCTTAATAGGACTCTTAAGTTACACAGATGAGCAGCTCGCTGTATTCTTGATGATGCCTATGATAAACCATTAAAAACAAAGAAAACTCTAAATAGGCCAAGGATCAATTTAAATTTTAAAAACTGTAAACAAGTGCGTAGAATCTATAAATAATAGTATATATATTGCTAATATATAGTGTGTTTATTTCATAACGTATAGCTGTAGTATATATTTTTTTTATTTATTTCTATATATATATATATATAAATGTAATTTATATAGAGGGCTAAAGGATGAGTAGTGTTTACACCTGTTGAGGCACCCTCTTTAAACAAATATTGTACGATGCATCAATTCAAAACAAAGAGCTAAAGCCACGAACCATCATATTTGGCCCTGTGTTTTTTCACAAAAATAAAGCTTCGATTCAAGAAGAATACTATACGTTAAATGTTAGAGGACAACATACTTCTTTTCCATATATAACTCATTTCTTTATATAATGCGCCATCAAGCACGTGCGACAGTTGGAAAATGCTACAGTTTCATAAAAACGTTAAAAATCTGTTTTTTTTTTTTCGACAGATTTCCCATAGTTAGATGTGGCCACGGTCAAGAACAACTTTTATACTTCCCATAGATATAGATATTGCCGATGCAAATCTTTATGCTTATTATAGTTGTTGTTCGTGGCTGTGGACAATATGAAATTTGATTTTATATTTAAATTTTGATGGATCAAATAATCACTAATTTGAGAATCAATCGTTTACATTCAACTCATGTAATAATAAAAAAATATAAATTTCACAAAATATGCTAGAAAATCAGTCTATTGTTCATTTAAAACGCTAAATGTGAAAAAAGAGTCAACTATATACATTTTCTGAAATAAATATCTGGAAAAACTTTTGGTTTTTACTATGACTAGGTCATTATATATGACGTAACTAGCAAAACGTCAGTTGTGACGTCATAAAGACTATAAATTATTTGGTATGTTGCTGAAAATTTTTAATGCTCTCGAATAATGAAATTAAGATACTGTCCCTATCTATATGATTTAAACACAACTGGATGATACCATCAAATAATAAATTAACAGAAATTCCCTCCACGGTGTTTTTCTTTACTACCCCTATCCCCCCTAAACTAATTCAAAATACTGTTGTTATCAGTATTAAAAGGCATGAATTAAATTGTAAACAAATTAATAGAGAAAGATAGGTATAACGTTAGACCTTTATAAAACAAGCGGAATAATAATCATATAGCTTGCTGTCCAAAGAGAAAATAAAAAAGGGGGAAAAAATGGATTGAAAAAATACGCATTAAGATAATCATCTACATCTACCGAAATTCACCCTTTTGTGTACATGCAGAAGAATTATCTCAGTGGATTTACAAAATTCAGTCATATCGATAACTTATACCTCTCATGTGTCCTATTTGCTTTCAACAAAATAAATTTTCCATTTTAATTTCTGAAAAAATGCAAAAACAATATATAGGAGTGTACAGTGATCTTTCGATGATAGTTTTATTTCAAAAGACAAATTTCAGACCTTTAATATATAAAAGTTTGTTGTGGTGTTCCTCCTTTAAGTAAAACATTTAAGGACTATTAAGTTGTTAGGCATTATATAATGATAATACTGAAAAGATTTACAATGAAATTAGAATAATATTATTTCGACAACCATATGTCTTCACCATGGTGAGTTGTTGATAGTCTCACCATTTCATCTTAAAGGTGTAATTTATTCCTATATCAGGTTTACTTTTTCAAATAACTATTCCTTCAGTAGCATAAAAAGTTATCTGGACTATACGGCTTGAGCGAATTAAAGCTGTAATTTGCATTCAGATTTAATAGGGTGGCCAAAGCGTTTTACTTGCAAGCATATATCCAAGGATTGTCTTGAAGATTTTGCCCATAGAATTAAAAAAATATTAACAAATTATGATTTTCATATTGATAAATATTATTAAAATAAGTAAAGTAAAATTAGATATAGAAAAAGTTATGATTAAAAAACACATGTTAACATCACCATCATTTCGTTTATTGTTTAAAATTATATACATCCATGAGTTGTTGCTTTACATGTATAGGCAGTGACCATCGTTGATGGTGAATAAATAGATTGTTCAAAAGTTATTAGTATGATCGATTTCGGGTAAAATAAAATAATAACATTTGGTACTTTGGACTTTGTTTTCCGCACGAAGGCAATAGTTCTAACCTTAGGTAAAATGCCTTCGTACCTTTCGAATAAACTCATACTATATACTTTACTAATTTATAATGATAGTATACTTAGTATATATAATAATAATTTATACCAAGGTACATTCTTATTATTTTCATGGGTTTAGGTAAGATTTGAAGCCGTTACCCGTTCATAATTCCATAAATAATTCCTATATATACTAAGAAATTTCGTTTATCTTGCTAAATTATTTTACATAGTAGGAGAATCACTTTTGTCTTGTTAGAATATTTGACAAAGAAGAAAAATCACTTACAATCCCAGCCTTGGTGCTTGGTTTGTTTGTCAATTTCATCTTTTCAAAGGAAATCTTTCGAGTCATCCACTCCGATCCAATCCGAGGAGAGTCCTGGTGTTTGAAGGGTTGATTCTTATATTCTTCTTCCTTTCTCGAGATTGGAACCCATTTATTGTTCAGAAACTTGAAGCTTTTCTTGCTGGCGGGTATGATGTCAAAAATGACGTCATATAATCCAAAAGGATCAAGGCCTCTTAAGTAAAATTCGACGTATGGAAACATCCTCCTGAAAATTCACGAGCATTTTGATATGTATAACAAAGTAACAAACTAATATTCATTTATCAATAAAATCTCTTAATCAATTTAGTTTCAAAAGTATACAATTATGAAAATTTTGGGTAGTGAATATTGTTCGAAATTCACCAGAAAAACGTCAATTAAAATAACCGAGGCGAAGGTCAATATTGATATTTTTCTAGTGAATAGCAAAACATATACACCAACGAAAGAGTTAATTTGTTTTAATATATAATCCGGATTTGATTGATTCGTTGATTGTTGATATCCTGTTTTATTCCCATTTGAGTATTTTTCACTCAAAAAGGGCAACGCACTTTGAAAAAATTACGCACTTTGAAATTTTTTACCAAATTTTCTAAAATTGGGACAAAATCAACGCACTTTGGAAAAAAAATCAAAGTGCGTTAAATTTTGGACAATATCAACGCACCTCGATTTTTTTTCAAAGTGCGTTAAGAGTGTACATCAGCATTTTTTACCATGGAGACACCTGACGCACTTTGAAAAATATGTATAAAACAAGAAATTCTGGGCTTAGATTTTAATAATAGACAACATTATTTTGTTTTATTTCTTTCGAAAAACTAATGAATTTATCTACCTTCATCAAGAACGAGGAGAAGACAAGTTGAAGGTCCCTCAACTCAACTTTTTATTTTTCCTACCAAAATTTATGTATTGACATAACTGGTATGATATTGATATTCTGTCTCCTAATAAATTTGAGTTAACGTAAAACAGATGAAAAATTTAAATAAGATTTCCTGAAAAAAAAAATAAATAACGCACCCTAATATATTAAAGAAGGGAGACTCAGGGGCCACATCGCTGATCTAAGCAACAATAGCAAACTGATTATACTTTGGCTAAAGAAGCTTTGCAAAATTAAATACGATACAAATAAAAAAATAATAATACTAATGAAATAACTGTATATAAAAAAGGGGCCATCATATTGTGCGGGGATAAACTATTTCTTAAGTGACGTCATCACCGAAAAGTTATCTAACTAGTGATATTAAAGCACTTTGAAAAGAATTTTTTCAAGCATTAACTTGATCCCAAATTTAACGCACTTTGAAAAGAAATTTTCAAAGTGCGTAATTTTTCGAAGTACGTTGTAACAAATGCTTTAAATTTAGACCTTTACTCGGCACCGAGGGCCATTGAGCTGTGACGTCTCTTTATTGTGCCAACGCCTACTGCGACAAGGGATCTTGGTTTTTAAGGTCTCATCCGAAAGACACATGACTTTCACTCTTAATGCGGGCGCTTGACGAAGGAACAGTCACTTCCTAAGTTTACGTCTCAGGTTCGACGCGGTTCGGCGAATGAGAATCGAACCCAGACCTCCCGATCATAATGCGGACCACCTACCACAAGGCTACCGTGACAGGTACTGTCTGGATTTGAATAAATACTTTCTGACGACACAATTTTCATGAACAAACTTCTGTCGTAAAAGCTTAAACTTGTCCGAATTACGTTATAACTACCATGTTTTCCTTTTGTTGTGTGTAAGAGATTGAAATGTTTGAAAAATATTCCACCGATATGCTTGATAATTTTTTTTCCTGCTCAGATACAAAGCTCTCTCCAGCTGTTGCAACCAGTGTTTGCAACGTTGTCTAAGATGACGTTTTAGACGTCACAGTCGCCGCTGCACGCGCACTGACCATCCAGTGAATACGGCTTTCAATGTATATCTTTTTTTAGTTTTATGATGTGATCAATTAGTTTGCTCGCGTGATAACGCGAGCAAATTGATTGATCATCATCATAGAGCACAAAACGAAGACAGTTATTTCTTATATCCACATTTTTACCTCATACAATTAGAAAACTATTTTTATTCAATAATAAGAAATCTTAGCAAGTCTCACTCACCGTATTACTAAGTGTATTACTAAGCAACAACCAGAGAAAGCATCCAGTTCTGTGACTTGCTGAACAAATAGCTTTATGATGTTATATTTATATCCTCTGAATATTTTTTCCTTTATCTCTTAAGAAAACCATTGTCGTTTATCAGTCAATAAACAAAAATAAGCATATCACCTGTACAGATTTTTTGAGCAGTGTCTCGTGGCTCTTTCATCAATGAAACTTACGATGACGTGCAAAACAATAATACAATTTTTAATCTACTCAATCCTACTTTAGATGATTATTTGTACAGATATAAATACAAACGATAAAATGTCTTTTTTTTTTGTTATTATGGGAATCAACGTTGCAGGTACTGCAGAAAAAAAAATGCATAACTCGAGTAAGATTCCGTTGATATCGTATAACATTACTTGGCTACGTCACAATGAGTTACGTCAAAAACGTATTACTCCGATTGTCGTTACTTTTAAAATATGCTCAATTTGAAGCCATTTTGGAGGAAATTTGTCTTATTGTCTACGCTGAAATTAAATTATAAGGAATGAAGCTTATTTTAACCTATGTTATACGATATAACATAACTTGGGACAGTTTACGTTTTTTTATAAACCGCTTTGCGGTTTATAAAGCGTAAACTGTCCCAAGTTATGTTATATCGTATAACATAGGTTAAAATAAGCTTCATTCTTTAAATAATTCCCATTCTAACAACCAAGAAAAGAAAAGCATTTCATTGTTTAAATGAAGCTTTTTCCTTATTATTATTTTTTCTTATCTCGGACAAAGGCATTTGAAAATGGAAGTACATGTATATAGTGGCATGAACCGTTTGCTTTCATACAGATTATTAAGGGACTGTAATACACTATTTAATACTCAGTAATTGTTTTTATATTACTTCAGTATTTATTGCTTTCATGCTTTCTGGTGTTATCAGTGGTCTGCATTTTTCTTCTGTTTCTAGTGTCCTGTTGTTTATAGAATTTTTGAGATTGACCACACTTCCCTATCTTCGCCTTTTCCATTTTCTCCTTAGTATTTCATAGAGTAGAGGAAAAAATGAAATACAAGAAAATCTTTAATCAAGGGGAACTAGATCTTCCCGGTAAAAGATGAAATTATGGTGTTTTACCCCAACCATTGGGTACAAAAGACGGTTCTGCATGATGCTAGTCAAACTGTATACGACACACTCGCGATTTTACATTTGGAAGGTTACACCATATATTTTATTCTTTAAAGAACCTTATAAGAAAAGAGAGAATTAATTTCTAGAATATTGTATAAGTGAAAAAAAGAGTTAACACTTCAGGATAGTTTCAACATGAGGAAAAAATCTACGACTTACGTAACGTTAAAATGCTGCTCCAGGTAAATGGACATATGCAAGTTTATAATTTCATAGGACTTATCTAATGATCATATTAACTATAGACATTCTGCACATTTGTTTTACTTTTTTCTTGATTAAATGTTGACGAATTTGTTGGGTTTTTTTTTTCTTGAATAAATGTTAACGAATTTTCAAGAATGTATCTCTTTCCTTTTTGGAGTAAATGTCTCAATAACAGCCCTCGTAATTAAGTATTAAAAACACTTTAGAAGTAAAATGTATGGAGATAACGAACAATATTTAAGCTTAAAAGTTCATTAAACAATACATTATGGTGAAGATGAGGCCAAAATAAAAATTACCTTTATTTCCCCGAACGCGACCGACCCACTTAAATCATGCCGACTAAAATTTTTTTTTTAAATAAGATTATTCAAATATTTTTTTTATTGTTTATCAACTTCATAAAATACAATTTCATCAAAATCCGTTTTTATCAGAACGGCGGCTTTTGTTTTACTCTCATTTTGCGCCCACAACATGTGGCCACAGAGGGTTATAATTAGTTCGTGTTATAAAACACGTATCGATTTTATATTTCTTTAACTTATTAGAATCCTTCACTCTTGAAACATTTCGTGAATTAAATATACCACAACTAAGGAGTGTTAAGAAGGTATTTACAAATGTGTCTTGTAAAATTAACGTACTTAGTAAGCATGGCAAAGCCTGCCCATGAGTAGATCAGGGGTCCACTTTGTTTATGCATATCAATAAATTTCACTGCATTTCATTTGTTTCGATCTAATAAACATTTCATGTATGATCCTATTTTTACTATATAGGACGATTGGAGTTGTAAATATGTCTTTGTATAATTATTTCATCTTGATAAATATAATTCAGATGTGGTTTCTTCATTCCTGTTATGTATGGGGGTAAACTTCGTGACTATAACATTAGATATATGAAACTTTAATCATTTAATTAAGATATGGTTTGGTTGAATTCAATATTGTTTATACATGTACACTCTTTCCAAATAGTGTTGAAATCTTTAAAAGTGGCTTAATGTAAGGATTCTTGAGACGTCCATTGTATTTTTCTTTAATTAGACCCTTTTAAATAGGTTGTTTCTTTGCTTTAAAATACCTTCAAAAATTGTAAGGCCTACAACATTTGAACACCTGCCTGGTGGAGGGCTCCGTATTTAGACTTTTACTCGGCACTTATGGCCATTGATCACTTAGCATCAGTAAGGGATCTTTTTCGTGCCAACATCACATGTGTACTGCGACACTGGACCTACGCTTTTAACGCTCTCATTCAACTGACCAATCTCCACGATCCACGTCGGAACCTGTGCCTTAAAATAAGCTTCTGAATTACGTCCTGACTCCAAAATGAAACAGTAGAATCACTGCGCCACGCGAGGCACTTGACATTGTGTCTGTGTAAGTACTCGAAGATGATAGTATGTTTGAAAAATATACTCGGATGTCCGATTGTTGAATATTTGCGAATCTTGTCTTTCTGTAAATATTTGATTTCGATAAATTTACGCCGGCCTGAGATATTTCACATGTTCAAATGAATGATTTTTCTGAACTAATTTACCATACATGTTGCTTCATTTGTATGATGTATGGTTTAAAATCGGTTTCTTTAGTTCTTTCTTATTTATAAAGATATTATTTTATTTTTCAGAATGTATTTTCAAAACTGCTGCCAGAAAAAAAAATAATTTACCTACCTACCTA